TTGACAAATGAGGATCACTTTCAGTCAACGAGAATGATTGAAAATAGTAAAATAGAAGAAAATTAAGGTTCCGTAGTGGAATTAATAAAATGTATGAAAAATACAATTTAATTTTATGTACATGCGAAGGTTTGGAAAATGTTCAATATGAAACATTATTTCGCATCCTCATATTCTGCCTGGCCATTATTATAAGAAGGAAAGTAATCGTTCATTTTATACAAGACAAATACTATCTAGCTAATTACTTTGTGATGAAATCAAGATCGTTGTACGTGTAATTTGAATCTTCACAGCACTACAGAAAATACACTACAGACAAATTGCAGGCATAGTTAGTCATATATGGCTGCGGCGCCCTCATTTGGAGAAATTTTGAGGTTTGATATTCGAACCATTTTATACAAGACAAATACTATCTAGCTAATTACTTTGTGAAGAAATCAAGATCGTTGCACGCGTAGTTTGAATCTTCACAATACTACGGAAAATACACTACAGACAAATTGCACGCATGGTTGTCATATATATAGCTACGGCGCCCTCATTTGGAGAAATTTTGAGGTCCGATATTCGGACCATTTTATACAAGACAAATACTATCTAGCTAATTACTTTGTGATGAAATCAAGATCGTTGCACGCGTAGTTTGAATCTTCACATCACTACGAAAAATACACTACAGACAAATTGCACGCATAGTTAGTCATATATGGCTGCGGCGCCCTCATTTGGAGAAATTTTGAGGTCCGATATTTGACCATTTTATACAAGATAAATACTATCTAGCTAATTACTTTGTGATGAAATCAAGATCGTTGCACGCATAGTTTGAATCTTCACAGCACTATGGAAAATACATTACAGACAAATTGCACATATAGTTAGTCATATATGGTTGTGGTGCCCTCATTTGGAGAAATTTTGAGGTCCGATATTTGGACCATGCGTCTGTGCGAACTGCAAATACAAAAATTACCATCCCACTTTTCTAATTGTCAAGCTAACCTGGCTCACCTTTTGGTCCAAACCTTCACTCACACCAATCCCAATCGCTCCCGCACAAAAGAATCTGCCGCTCACGTGGGATTGTGGCATATATTTTACAATGAGCCACATGAGCCATATAGTATGTTGTTTATACCATACTTAACCAATCCCGAAACTACTGAGTACCGGTCAACGTTATACCGTCAAGGACCCAGAAGAGTTTCCCTCCAACCAATAGGCTAATCATAGCGCGACACGTGTCGACATCAGAAGCCAATCATAACACGACACGTGTCAATGCTATAATGAAACTAGAAACTCTTTTCTATAAATAGAGATCATTCTCTCACAATATTTCCGAATGTCATTTGTACTAAATCATTCACTTGTACTCACTAAATGTGAGCTTGAACTTATGTACTTGTGTAAACCCTTCACAATTAATGAGAACTCCTCTACTCCGTGGACGTAGCCAACTGGGTGAACCACGTACATCTTGTGTTTGCTTCCCTGTCTCTATCAATTTACATACTTATCTACACTAGTGACTGGAGCAATCTAGCGAAGGTCACAAACATTTTCTGTTGTACCAAAGTCCTCACCGATTTTGTGCATCAACATATGTAATTAGCAATTGAAACCTCGCGCGATGCCGCGGGTTTTAAGATCGTTTAAGGTGGTATTATTTTATATATAATATGTTTAAACAAAGAGATGAAATTTTTTACTGTGTTAATTACAAAAGCTGATACTATTTACAGTGTTGTTTACATTTATAACATACTTTATATGCTGCTTTTCATGTTATAGTAAGTCTTGTGCTATTTACATGTATACATATCTACTGTTTGAGAAGACTAACTTAATGGGATTTAGATTTTCCTACTTCATTATTCTCGAGTTCATCTCCATCTTCACTATGTAGAGGGGTTTTCTTCTATGTCTTCCTTTGCAAGTGTTTTCAATTGGTTGCTACAAATTTTGAAAAATAGAGTTGTTAGTGCGGGGATGGTTTGTTAAATTTAATTCGAAACAGTACAACATATGAGAAAACAAATGGGGACAACATAAGTAAAGCTAAGACTAAATGAATGCATTCGAACATTGGAAACAAATAACTTGCATAGTGCAACACTCATCAGCGCTCTTGAAAATAGGCAAAACACAGCACACCCCAATTTCCTTCCAATTAACCGAAGACATAGTCATCATTTTCTTTCGGTTGGCTAAAATTATTAAGCAAAGCAGTAACAAAGTCGGACAGGCTAATCCCGTCACTGGACTGTGACTTAATAGAGGTCCACAATATGTTAGTTCTGTCCAACAATGCCTCTGCATCTACTACTTGTTTCCTAGGTTCTGAACTGGAAAATCCCCAAACGGGCAAATCCAAATTTTATCATCGAAACCAAAATTATAGTAAAAATATATATATCATTTTTCCTTCACAATATACTCAATCTTCTCAGTAATCAACAATTCAAAAAAAAAAAAAAAACAGATCCTATTAAATTATAGCATAAGGCTGAAATTCAAAATTCTAAACCCACAAAAACCTAATTTAAAAGAAAAATTTAGAATTTATAACACAAATACCCAAATTAAATGCAAAATTTAGAATTCATAACACAAAAACCCAAATTAAACACAAAATTAAGGTGCTTTTAGAGAAATAAGTATAGGAACGCGAAAAACCGAAACCCTTCTAAAGGGCAGAAAGAGAGACATAATGCAATTTAAGTTCGGAAACTTACAGACTCTAGGTGAGTCATCCCGGATTCAGTTTGCAACAGAATTGCTACTTCTTGTGGTGATTCGCCTATCATTGTCTGGCGAACGAAAACCTACAAGGACCAAAAATCCCAAAAAATTTGTATATATCACTCCCTGCAAAACCCCAAAATCAGAAAATTAGAAAACAAAATTTGATAACATTATACTTGAGAAACACCAAATTCCCAGTTAAAGGAAAATTAATACAATCTCTGCAAAAAATAATCAGGAGATAAAAACTCAAATCTCAGAAAAAAGAATCAGCAAATTAATCATATAAATTGTGATATGGAAGATAATTTAGGAGGAGGTAAGATTGGAAACGCACAGAAAGGCAGGCCTTGTATTTCTGCCAATCTGAAATGCAATCCCCTTTTCCCATTGACCCTTCACAAACTTCTCCGAGTACCCACTACACACAGAAACGATATCTATTAAACCCTTTCGTACACATATGAATATCAAAACGAAAACCTCAAATTATCATAGCATTCCCTTTCTTAATTTTTGTAAAAGGAAACACAAATGGATGAAACAAAATCAACAATTTTATCTTGTAAATCATAACTACAGAAAGTCAAAAGCACTTCAATTATGGAAGGAGGGAAAAGGGGTGCAAATAATTGGTGCTCAACAGAAATCACTGCCTAGTCATCAACTCTCTGTAAGCAAAGGTTTTTTATTTTTTATTTTTGTTCAAACTGTAAGCAAATATTAGAAACCCTGAATAAGTATATACCTGCATAGTCTCAGTAGAAGCCAACTGACAAAGAAATTATGGGTTTTGCATCATCCCCATAAATAAGAATTGGAATCGAGCATGCTATGTAACTTGGCGTTGAGGACTTAGAATCTGCAGTCAAATAATGTTAAGAAAGAATAAATTTCATCCTCAATTAATAAAAAAAAAAAAATCAAGGCTTCAAAATAAAATATAAAAAAAATCAAAAGAAACCAAAACAATTAATAATTCTAACAATTCTTAACAAGTATTCAGTAAAAGGATAAAAAAAGCCCAAATTCCGATTAAGAAAAATACAGACTTTGTATGAAAATTTAAGCTTTACCTCTGATTCACCTTAAACCGTAGCGAATCGCATGCAACTGGTGATTTTGGTTTCTGAGACGAAGGGTAGACGATTGATTGTAACGGGGAGGTCCGATTCGTCGGCGTTCGGCCGGAAATAGTTCAACTCGAGCACCAACTTAATAAATAAAAATGGATGAGAATTTTTAGAAATAGATTTATATTGAATGTAAGGAGATGGTTTCTCTTCGGTGGTTTGTTGGCTTGTATTTGCCGGAAACGAAGAACTCGTCGGCAACCACAGTGGTGAGTCGCAGAGAGGAGCGAGAAGAAATAGCATGTAGGGAGAAGAAGAAAAAGGTAAGAAAAAATAAACTGTATATACTTTCCCATCCATAAAGTGGCACAAACGTACTAAAACAAACTTATCAGGGGCAAAATAGGGAGTACGCTGTTTCTTATGTACGCTGTTCTTATGAACAGTGAATCATTCACGAATATATTTTTTTGATGAATAATTCACGAATATATTGTACATGGCAAATTTAGGTTCCAATTCAATCATCGGATGGCCAAAGAACTTTTGAGTATAGTATAGATTCCATAGTGTATAATTGTTCGGATAAATTGAAGGTATTGTCTCACATCATTAGTGCAGGAGATAGATATATAGGAGATCATAAGCGTCTATATAGTAAAATTAACTTTCGATTGAATGAAAAGAAATATGATACAATTGATCATTATAAGTCAAACTTAATAGAACTTGATCATGAATTGAATCATTGTTTGAAATTGAAGATTTTGTTTTATCAGAGCAGTTTCACCGTGAGAAAGGCCCCCCCGGGCTATCCACTATTTAATCCACCTAGTGAACAGTAATTGCTCTTAATGAACAATAATTGTTTTTTTGCATCTCCACCCCTACACTTGAATAGCCTTAGCAACAGGTAAATAAAATAATAATATTTTTTGCAATTGCTTGGAATTTCCCGTGCACCTTTCCACTCCCTCACGTCACTCCCTATCTTTCCACTAATCTTTCTCACTTCTCTCCATTTTTGCAATTGCTTGGAATTTCCCGTGTACCTCTCCACTCCCTCACGTCACTCCCCTCTCTTTCCACTCATCTTTCTCTCACTTCTCCATTTTTCTCCGAAGTTCCTCTCTCTCTCTCTCTCTCTCTCTCTCTCTCTCTCTCTCTCTCTCTCTCTCTCTACACTCTCACTCTCTCTCTAGAGCTCTGAGAGCTCTCACCCACTTTCCTCTTTGAAAATTAAACAAATCAAACTCCAAAACCATGGATCCTTGCTATATCGTTGCATGCGTCATCAGACCATCACAGTGTAAACCACCATTGAAGCCGAGAGCTTCAAGATCTGAAACTCGAATCCAGGTGAGGTTCTCTATGCAAATCTTGTTTCATTATGTCTTAATGTTGCTTGGGACAAGATTTGTGGTGTTTTTCCAGTTCGAAACCAAAGGTTTAACCTCTTGCAATTTCTCTGAAACTTTGCCCAGTTTTTTGTCACGTCCTCGGAGAAAACTCCGGCAAGTTTGTGGGTTGAGATCCAATGGACGCCGAGGCAAAACAGAAGAAAAAACGTGGCTGATGTCAGCCTTGCATCAAACCCACTCCGGGCTCTCGGGCTGGCAACTCTCCACCGGCCTCTCACTCGGGTCTGCTCGGGCTCCCTTGCTAACACATGTTGGACTTGATTGCTCTGGCTTTCTGGCCCTGTTCACTTGCCTGTCCCTCGGGCTCCAGCACACACTGGAGCTACTCTCATCATATTGGATAGGAAAAACTCATATAATGTTACATAAACCAACTTTTTAGACCATATTTGTAATTATGTATTGTGTCACCAATAATAATTAAGCACGTTAACCAATACTAAAGTAATAAGACAATCATGTCATATAATTTATAAAATTTGGTTTAAATAAATGGACTCTCTAGCATTACCCCACCTTTTAATTCTATGTTCTACCCTCTCTAATTGGTCATAATTTTTCATTTCTCCCATCAATTAATATGCCTTGAGAATAAAAAATTATCCATTTCAATCAAATCATAGGCATCTAACGAGCCCATGTTTCTACTATATATATGTATGACAGGGCGCTAATAACACAAATCAACTTAAGCCTTCACCCAGTAGTTCAATAAAAATTCTGTCTCTAGATTTCTAATGACTTAGTTGTAGAATGGATTCTCTCCCTTATGCAAACTCCATCGCTGCTGGATTATTCACAATAATCATCGTGTCCTATTACTTATCACGAAGATGGAGAGCTGCCGAATACAAGGGCTCCCCACCTGAAGCCAAGGGTGCGTGGCCTATACTGGGTCACCTTCCTTTGTTAGGAGGTTCCACACCTCCTCACATAGCTTTGGGAGCCATGGCGGACAAGTATGGACCCATTTTCACCATCCGCGTTGGTGTGTCTATCCGTCGTTGGTGATAAGCAGCAGTGAGTGAGATCGCAAAAGAATGCTTCACAACCAATGACTTGAGCGTAAACTCGCGCCCAAAGATGGCGGCTGTAGAGCACATAGGCTACAACTACGCCATGTTTGGGTTCGGACCACCTGGACCCTATTGGCGAGAGAAATTCGTAAGATCGTCACCTTGGAGTTGCTCTCTCAATCCGGAAGTTGGAGCTGCTCAAGCACATTCGAGTATCGGAAGTGACTACTTTCTTGGAAGAATTGCACAAAACTTGGAGTACAAGACAAAGGGAGGGCTCGAACGATGGAGTGGTTGTAGAGCTGAAGCAATGGTTTGGGGACATGACGCTGAACGTGCTTGTCAGAATGGTGACCGGAAAGCGGTATTCAGTGGCTGCCGATGAGGATGAGAAGAAAGAAGCGCGTAGGGTTCAGAATGCATTGAGGGAGTTTTTTCATTATGCGGGGCTGTTTTTGGTGGGTGATGCGGTTCCTTGTCTGCGGTGGTTGGATTTGGGTGGACATGAGAAGGCAATAAAGAAAACTGCAAAGGAATTGGACACCATTGTTGGCGAGTGGGTTGAAGAGCATAAGCGGAGGAGAGCAAAAGGTGATGCAAAAGGAGAGCAGGACTTCATAGATGCGATGCTTTCTGTGCTTGATGGTGCAGAACTTGGCGGGTTTGATGCTGATACGATCAACAAAGCCACAAGCTTGGTACATATATAATTCATTAATTTGCATGCAAATAATTAACAGTAAAAGGCTGGACTTAGACACTATAAACACATTAAGATTTTATTTTTTTTACTTTCATTACATAATTAAGCTAATTGCATGGTCTATAAAAGGAAAACGAAAATAATTAGACAAGAAAATTTCTAAATTTAAATTTTATATTCTAAGATCATATACAATTTTTACTTTTAACAATATTTTGTCGATTTCTGATAACTCTTTTGTATGGTTAATAACTCTAATTTTTCACTTTTAAAATAATCAATAGTACACAATGATTTGACATACTTCTCATATAAACATCATGTAAAAATGGAATTTATAATTAATTACATTACATACTTGGCTATCTAGAATGATTTTTTTGACATGATTTCCAATTTTATATACGACTCATGCCACATGTTTGAGTGCTCACCACTATGTAAAAACAGTACAATTTTGTCGTGTTTTTAATATCTGACTATTTCGAACTAAACTAATTTCAGTGATTAAGCTAGACTATTTTAGAATAAATTAAATTGGACTAACTTAGTGAAATATTTAGCAATAACAAATTAATTTAGAAAGAGAGTAAAAATGCTCTCTTTTTCTTTTCTTTTTTTTTTTTAATTTTTAGAACTCTTTATCTGTGTTTCTCCCAAGTCAGTCAAACGTTCCTCTTTTTCTCCCTCTGTTTTCCTCAAGTTGGGTAAGAGTTGCACAGACACTATTGAAATTATCACCACAAAAAAACAAAAAATAAAAAAAATGTGAAGCGCGCTTTCCAAATCCCCAATTCCCGTGACAAACCTCAACGATTCTTCTCAATCCCCTCTTTGATCATTCGATCAATCCCAATTTCGTCGTCTCGAAGCTAGAACAAGTTCAAACTCACCAATTCGAATTGGCAGCCACAACGAGTTTTCCGTCCAACTCCCTCTCTCTCTGCCCTTTGTTTTCCCGTCCAAATCCCCCTCTCTCTTCCTTCTGGCTCTTTCTCGTCCAACACCTGGGTGGTAATCGGACTCTGGGTGGTAACTATATCTAAGATTTTAATTCGTGGTGGAGCTGCGGTCACTGGAAAAGAGGCTGCATGAGACGGTATAATAAGAATGTAGCCTCACTCTTAAGTGTGTGTGTGTGTGTGTATCCTAATTAGTCAACCAAATATTCCTTGTGCAGAATATGATTGCAGCGGGTAGTGATACCATCATGGTGACATTGACATGGGCAATATCGTTATTGTTGAACAACTCTCGCGCGTTTTGGAAAGAGCCCTAAACGAACTGGACATCAAAATAGGTAGACAAAGAGTTGTGAGTGAGCAAGATATAAAGCAACCTAGTCTACATCCAAGCTATTGTAAAGGAGACGCTACGTTTGTACCCACCAGCACCATTATCAGGGCCACGCGAGTTCACTGAGGATTGCACCATTGCTGGGTACCATATCAGAAAGGGCACCCGATTAACCATGAACCTCTGGAAGCTCCAAACTAACCCGAAAAATTGGCCCGAGCCATTCGAGTTCAAGCCAGAAAGATTTCTTACCACCCACAAGAAAGTTGATGTGAAGGGTCAACATTTTGAGTTGATTCCGTTTGGAAGTGGCAGAAGAGCATGCCCTGGTTTGGCACTTGGCCTTCAAATGGTGCAATTTACGTTGGCTAGTTTTCTACATGCGTTTGAAATCTTGAACCCATCGAGTACACCAATTGACATGACAGAGAGCTTTGGATTAACCAATACTAAGGGAACTCCACTCAAAGTTCTCATCAAACCTCGTTTGTCTTCTAAACTTTATGAATAAAGAAGAAAATGTATAACATTATATTTGTGATATGAATAAGAGATTTTCGTTGATATTAATTATATACATTTATGTATCCGTAATCATAAAATCAATAAAAAGAACTGCTAGCAATAATGAATATTCAGGAATGGGCATATTGCATTTTCAATTGGACTAAAAAATACTTCTTTATTATATTTTTAAGAATAATGATAGGAAGATCAGAATTTTAAATCAAATTTACAAATAAAATGATGTGTTACCAATAGAAAATAAGCACGTTAATTAACATTTAAATAATAATTCAATCATCAACAATTACATCGTTTGATTTACAAAATTTAGTTTAAAATAGTCCTATTTTGGGCATGTTGCCCCGGTTTTTTTGTTTTTCAATTTGTTTGAAAAGAACCCACCCATTTGCTAAATTGCTAGTACACAAACAGGACAAAATCAAATGGTCCATTTCTAGTGTCGACGGCTGCAATTATTATCAAAAAGATAATTTTGACTATTTTTAATCTAAATTACATATTAATAAAAAAAATTCTTAATTATAAGAGAGTAAAAAGACAATTTAGTCTTCTATTATAAAATAAAATAATAAACAATAATGAAATTTTCACACAAATCAAATTTTGCTGTTTATTTTTTTCTTCCCTTACTCACACGTTATCATAAAATAAAAAATTTGTGAAAACAAAATTCTCAAAATGCTGCGGATTACCATCAATGTTGCTCTTGTTGAACATCACCATAATCTGGTTGTATATATTTTCGAAAATTTGAAAAAAAAAAATTGCCTAAGCCTCCTCTTCTTTGAGCCTAACCAAGGAAAAAAAAATCGATAATATCGACGATATTTCGCCGATATTATCGTTTTTTTGAAGATTCCAATATTTTTTTAACTATCCAAATTATTTTCATCAAAATATCGCGATATTATCGATAATATCGCGATATTTTTAAAATTATCGATAATATCATAATATAATATTCAAAAATACTTTAAAATTTTGAGAAATCTCAACACATACTACACTTGATCAAAGCCTAAAGGCCAACCAAGACATGCTTTTCTCAGCATGTGAATGTGCCTTTTATAGGCGTTCTTGGCTTGCTCACTGCCCTCGCTGGGCGATGTGGGACTCGACCAAGGAAGAAAATAGGAATTTCGGCCGAAAATCCACACCCATTTTAAACGGCCATAATTTTGTCAAAACTCAACAAAATCAAGCAAGATAAAAACAAAAGTTATAGCCCTCGAAGAGACGAAGAGAATGGTACCTCACACGACGTCTGAATCGTCGTGGTTTGGCCGGAAAATGCCTCGAAAGTCACTGAGGTCGCCGGAAACTGGGTAAGATTCAAATGAGTATAACTTTTTCAATACTCAACAAAATTGAGTGAAACAAAAAGGAAAGTTGTACTAATCGACGAGACGAAGAGATTGATACCTTGCACGCCGGCCAACTCGCAGTGGTTTGGCCGGAAATTGCCTCGAAAGCCACTGAGGTCGCCGGAAACTGGGTAAGATTCAAATGAGTATAACGTTTTCAATACGCAACGAAATTGAGTGAAACAAAAAAGAAAGTTGTAGCCCTCGAAGAGACGAAGAGAATGGTACCTCACACGACGTCTGACTCATTGTGGTTTGGCCGGAAATTGCCTCGAAAGCTACTGAGGTCGCCGGAAATTGGGTAAGATTCAAATGAGTATAACTTTTTTCAATACTCAACGAAATTGAGTGAAACAAAAAGGAAAGTTGTACTACTCGACGAGACGAAGAGATTGACACCTTGCACGCCGGCCAACTCGCCGTGGTTTGGCCGGAAAAACCAAAACGTTTTGTCTCAAGGGCTGGTACATGTGAACTTGTGACTCCAACTAGGTAAGAGCCAGATCTAATTTGGGGCCTTCTATCCTATATTTGTGGACAACCATCAAATGCTAAAGATTAAACAAACATAATATGTTCTACTGGT